CCCCCCCACCAGAACTCCCACTGCCTAGTGCCCCAACACACACACACACACACACCTTCCCTGCCCCCTTCACAGCCCAGCACCCTCCCAGGCTCCTCACAGACCCACTCCCCCAAGCCCTGCCTCCCGGCCCCACTCACCAGCCCTGCTGGGAGGCAACTATGTGTCTCCTCTCTGGGGAGGAGCGCAGGCTCTCACACTGGAGAAACCTATCTCCCTGCTGCCTCCAGCCTTGCAGCAGTTTGTCTCTCCTCCCCCCGGCCAGGAGAGAGATTTTAACAGGTTTCAGGCAGCCCTTAATTGGACTCAGGTGTCCCTAATTGACCTGAAGTAACCCTTTCCCAGCTTATAGGAAAAAGGGCCTTTAGCATGGTAGGGCTAACATACCTGTTTTCCCAGATCCTCCTTCAGCCGTCCGGCCTGACTTTGTCACACTCCCTAAAGCCCCAGGCTGGCACTTTTTTGTCTTCTACAAAAATTCAGCACCTGCTGAATGTCTTGCCATTGAGTGCAATAGGAGCACAGATTTCAGTATGGGCCACGCAAGTGTCCAGAGACAGCAGGCTCATTCTAGATCCACACTTGTTTCATAACATCTCCCTTTGGTAGTGCTACACTTGTCACTCCAGATATTCCTGACGTCACAGTGAGTGGGTGCCTAGAATCGTTGGGTGCGGGTGTCTAGGAGACATTTCACTGACCTGTGAAAGCCACTACTGAAAATAAAGTCCTCTTGGACTATTTTTTGGCTCTCTCTTTGGCAGCAAGCACGTGACCAAGCATGAAACTGCACACAGAACCTAGCGAGACACAGAGCTAACGGATGAAATCATATGCCATGGCCAGGAAGCAGTACAAGAGGAAGCATGTGAGTAGAAAGGGGAACTAACTGTGAGAAAAGGAGGGAGCAGAGAGAGCAATCTCAAGAATAACAGCAGGAGAGAGAGGGCGCTTAAGCATTCGCTGACATCCGAGGCTCAAGAAGTGAATATTCTGGGAGAGAGAGAGAGAGAGAGACAGGAAGCCCCAGACTCAGCAAGTGGCTCATAGAAGCCCCTGTTGGCTGCTGCAGAGTCAGTGTCAAGGAAAGACTACATCCTACAAGCCACCATGAGCCTCCAGCTGGCAAACATCTTCCTGCCTTTGCTCTTCCTCCTCTGTCTGCATCTGGGTGAGTTTCCCCTTTGAACAATGTGTTGTGAGTTCAATCCCAGGGTTGTGAGTTCAATCCTTGAGGGGGCCACTTAGGGATCTGGGGCAAAATCAGTACTTGGTCCTGCTAGTGAAGGCAGGGGGCTGGACTCGATGACCTTTCAAGGTCCCTTCCAGTTCTAGGAGATGGGATATCTCCATTATTTTATTTTATTTTATTTTATTTATGTTTTCATTGCGGTTTCAGAGTCAGGAGTCTCCATTGCTTGCAAAGTAAAAGCTTCTGAAAGAAAGAAACCCAACAACAAAACCCTTTCTCCCGGGGTACACGCAGAAGCTCTGTAAGCGGGTGATACCCACAGCACATGGGAACTGGCAGAGTGAACGGTGGGAGCCAATGACGTACAGATTCCTGGTTGTCTTTGGATTTGGGGGGTTTGTCTTTGGATTTTTGGTTTTGCCATTTCAAAGAGCGCAGGATTAGACGCGTGAGCCGCCCCAATGTTCCCAACTTCTTTTTATCCTATTTAGTTCGCCATCAACTTAAAAAAAAAGGGGGGGGGGAAATCACAGGTCTTTTTGAAAACTTTTGAACTTACTTTAGTCTGTACCAGCAACATAAATGAAAGAGATTTGAGAGAAATATGTATATATTTTTGAAAGTTGGTTTTCTTGATGCATTTAACAACTTTTGTACAGTCAGTTTCATGGTTTCCCATGCTTAGTTGTTTAGATCAACCAGATCCGCACAGGCGCAAGGGTCTGCTCGTGTGGGGGTGATTCAGGATCATGGCTGTAGTCAGTTACCCTTGCAATTTGCATGGGTCTTTCACTCTCTAACAGGAGAGTACTTTTTTTTTTTTTTAAACAAGCTAATTTGACTATAACCACAGAAACAGGCAGGGGAGACTCAGAGGCATGGGTAGTGCCTAAAGATACTTGAACTTGATTTGCTTGTCCATTGACTAGGTTTCAAGTTGACTGTGTCTCTGTAAATCCAAGCAGCTGGAAAGATGGGAATTGGATTTTTGGTATTGTTTTGTTGTGCAGGAACCATCTAACTGATACAATAAATACTATAAAGACACCTGAATATCATCTAAAATTGCAGAGCCCATAATGTCTTTTTAGCTGACAATTCTGTTTTAAGACACTAAGCAGTTCAAAGGTTAATTACTATGGAATGAGTGATTTTTATACTGCAAAACGGTGCTTAGATAAGCTAAGCTTATCTGATTATTTCTGCCTTGTGAAGTATCTGGTATCATGGCACAAGTGGTGTCTGAACTTCCCTTTTCTGAGGGAAACTATCTGGGTTGTGAACTTGCGTCTTTTTATGCAGTCTGCATTCCATACGATTTCCTCCCATTCCAAAACTCCCCTTGATGGGAAACTAGAGTGGCATGGCCTGGCTGCATTGCTCCTTCCACTCACAGACCTTGCACTTGGTGAAAAGGAGTCGGAAGATACTGGTAGAGAATCATAAAAGCAAAGGGCTGGAAGGGACCTTGAGAATTCATCAAGTCCAGCTCTCTCCGCTGAGTCAGGACCAAGTAAACCTAGACCATCCTTGATAAGTGTTTGTCGAACCTCTTCTTAAAAACCTCCAGTCACAGGGATTCCACAACCTCCCTTGGAAGCCTATTCCAGAGCTTAACTACCCAGATAGTTAGAAAGTTTTCCCTAATATCTACCCTAAATGTCCCTTGCTGAGAATTAAGCCCACTAGGTCTTGTCCTACCTGCAGTGCCCATGGAGAGCAATTGATCTGAGTTCTCTTTAAAACAGCTCTTAATATTTGAAGACTGAGGTGGGGCCTGAAAACAGTCTTCTTTTCTCAAGACTAAACATACCCAGTTTTTTCAACCTTTCTTCCTGGGTCAGGTTTTCTAAACCTTCTATCATTTTTGTTGCTCTCCTCTGGACTCTCTCGGTTTGTCCACATCCTTCCTAAAGTGTGGTGCCCACTGCCCAGAACTGAACTCAGAACTTCAGCTGGGGCCTCACCAGTACTGAGTAGAGGGGGACAATTAGCTCCTGTGGCCGACTCACGTCACTCCTGTTAATACAGCCCAGACTGACATTAACCTTTCTGGGAACTGTGCCACATTGTTGACTCATATTTAATTTGTGATCCACTGTGACCCCCAGATCCTTTTCACATTTTGGGGTTGTGCATTTGATTTTTCCTTCCTAAGCGTGGCACTTGTCTTTATTGTGTGGATGTGCTAGTTTATTGATACGGCTACTGCCCCACTCTGTCCTGAAGAGCTTAACATTTTACAGTTGATTGTATTTCCCTAAATATTTGGGCTAATTGAGGCCTGGGAAATTGAGGGGGGAAATTTCCAGACTGATTTTAGATTTGGCAGACTGTCTCTTCTATTTGCTTGTACAGGGCCTGGCACTATGTGGTCCTAATCCTCTGGGTGCCACTAAAAGACGCATAAATCATCATCATCACAACCTCAAAAATAGACCATTCCTTGACTTTCTTTGCTTCTGTCTCTTCATTCCTCACTCACTCACTCCTGGCATGGGCCAAGCCACTGCCCTCTGCTCATGGCAGTCCTGTCTCAAACTGCGTGTGTGCAAATGTTAATGCTCTAGCTATAGAACGAGCTGTTTTGTACATTGCTTGGAGATTCAATCACCATCGTTAATCTGATATTTCTGGACATGGTGTTCTTCCTCTCACTCGGGCCACACCTACCCTTGCGGCAGTGTGTACAGTACAGACACTACACGCCAGACAGCACGGCTATAAATACCAGCGTAGCCAGTGAGGCACAGCTTAGGCAAATATCGTAGAGTGCCCCATATGGCTGAACCCCCATGTTATATTGTGACACTCTGTACCTCCAAATAGCGCCCTGGAAGGCCCATATTCACCACTGTGATGTGATTCGATGTTTTGTACAATGCATGCCTTGGGAGGTATCATTTAAGAAATCTTGATCTGTTGAACATTAATATCCTGATGAATTGTAGGCACTATCATTGTATCTGAAGTTACGAAGTTTTGCCATGTGCGCATTACTGAAATGTGTTGTGAATTTGGGAGCAACTAACACTGACCAGAGAGGCACTGATGGCCCATTAAGGAGAATCCACTCTCCCAGTGGCCCTCCCAGAGACTCCTCAGCGAGGGCATATACGCAATTGGAACTGCCTGACCCCCACGTCCCAGCAAGCATCGTTCTAGCACTTGGAGAGAAAGTATAAGTGAGGGTTGATGACATCACACCTGGGCCTCTCTCCTCCCCCATCTCAACACCTGGAAGATCATTTGGAAGACCAAGACTTTGAACTGGGGAGATTGGTCCCCGGCTGAAAGGGAATTCAGTCTGTGTATTAAGAATTGTGAGCTGCCTGTAACATCTACTAGAGTGAGAAACTGCTTGATTCAAATCTTGCTTATTCTGTAGAATTTAGACTGCAGATTAATTTTTTTATTTCTTATGTAACCTACTCTGATCTCTATGCTTGCTACTTATAATCAATTAAAAATCTGTCTTTCTGTAGTTAATAAATCTGTTTTATATTTTATCTAAAATAGTGTGGTTTGGGGTGAAGTGTTTGGGGAATCTCAGCTCAGGTTAACAAGGGCTGTTACACATCCGCTACCCTTTGTAGGAGTGGCAAACTAATTAATGAGCTTGCCCTGTCAAAGGGACGGGTGTTGAGTGCAATGGCTGCTGGGAGTCCACAGTGCTGGACTGTGACGGAACAGGAGGAGTGGAATGGTGCGGGTACAGACTGGAGCCAGGAGGTTGATAAGAGTGTGTTGGCGGTGTCTGGGGGGTACATGGGAAAGTGTTTTGCGACAGCGGCTGCAGGGGAGGACGGGTGTGGAGCTGCTCGGTTTGCATTTCTAATAGCACCTGGAGCGTGTCCACTTGGCGCTCCATAACCTTTAAGAGCCTCTCCCTGGCTTCATTCCAGCACGCCGCGTTCTCCTTTCAGTCCCTCTTTTTGCTGTCCCGCCACTCCTTCAATTCCTGTTTCTCGGTGGCGGAGTGCATCATAACCTCACGCAGAAAGTCCTTCTTAGTTCTTCGTGGCCACTTTCTAATTCTGCGCAGCCGTTCAGCCATCGATAACAAAGAGGGAGGCTGGGCTCCCAAGGTCGTCTCTGTGAAGTTTAAATGCAACATTTTACAGAAGCAGTATTGTTTGCAA